GTGCCCCCCGAGGAGAGACCGCACGGGCCTGAACAGCCCGGCTTGCTTAGGGCGGGACGGTTCCGAGACAGTTCCGAGACAGCTTCCAGGTCCGGGCGAGGGCCGCCAGGTCCAGCCGAGGTGGCGGCGCCTCCGGCGGCGAGGAAGGTGCTGGCGCGGCCGGGGCCGCGGGCGGGGTCGTCGTACCTGCGGGATGTCGTGGACATGTCGTGGACATGTGCGTGGGGCGTGTCGTGGGCGCGTCGTGGACATGTCGTGGACATGCACATGCGCATGCACAGCATGTGCATGCGTGCTTGCACATGCGCATGCACATGCGCATGCACATGCGCATGCACATGCGTGCATGCGCATGTGCATGGGCGTGTCGTGGACGTGTCGTGGACGTGTCGTGGGCGTGTCGTGGGCGTGTCGTGGGCGTGTCGTGGGCGTGTCGTGGGCGTGTCGTGGACGTGTCGTGGACGTGTCGTGCGAGGCGTGTGCCACGACACTTCCCGGGGGCGGCGGGGTGGTCCGTGCATCTAAGGAGGAGCAGGCGCCCGCCCGTGTCTCGGAAGTGTCTCGGACCGGCGGAAAGAGTCTCGGAAGTGTCTCGGAAGTGTCCGCGAGGCACCCGCCGGTGACGTCCGCCGCCTTTGTCTTTTGCTTGAGGGGGTCGAACTCGGCTCGGAAGCAGACGCGCGCGTTGCGCGCCAGCGCGTTCCCGTCGGTCACTTCGCGAGAGTGAACAAAGACGTCCTCGCCGCCGCCGTCGGGCAGGATGAAGCCAAAGCCCTTCTCCATGTTGAAGGTCTTGACCGTGCCCATGATCTTGCCGGGTGGCGGCGGCGGCTCGTTGTCCGGGATGACGAGGCGAGCCGTCGGCGGAGGCTGCCCCGACGAAGAGGTGCTGTGCCCCCAGCAGCCGTGCTTTGCGGTTGGCGCGTCCGCGACGGCGGCCGCAGCGAGGCTCGGGTCGACGAGCCCGGCGGCGTGGCCGACGGCGAGGCCGATGCCCTTGGACTTTGCGAGCTCCATCATCGCCGCCATCCCAGCCGCGCGCTCCTCCGCCGTCGGCGACTTGAAGCGGCTGCGCGGCGGCGAGACGGAGCGCGAGCGGCCGCGCGACGACGAGCGCGAGGGCGAGCGGCGGCGGTCGCGGCGGTCGCGCGAGCGCGAGCGGCGGTCGCGGTCGCGGTCGCGTCGAGACCGCTTGTCGGAGCGGCGGTCGCGGCGGTCGCGAGGAGACCGAGAGCGGCTGCGGCGCGGCATCGACGGGATGATATCCTCTCCTCACCCCACCGGGGGGTAAAGAATTCTTAAGATACAAGCCTCTCTCACAGCACACTGGCACGACAAGGGCGCAGACTGGCGCGGACTGGCACACACACAGGCTCACCACCGGAGCCGCCTAAGCGACTCCGTTAAGAACGGCAATGCACTCCGCACCATGCACAATGCCGCTCTCCCCGCACGCTAGCTCGTTCACCGTCTGCCACGCCACGGCGGTGTGGAGGACGACAGACAAGCGCTGCATCTGCAGCCCGTGCCAGTTCTTGGTGGTCCATGTGACCTCGTCCAGGTGCTGAGCGTGCGAAAGTTTGTTGCTCAGCTGGTTCGCCGCCTCCCTCAGGGTGCTGCGAACCTCCTTTCCAAAGCCTCCGAAAGCCTCAAAATCAAACAAACGTAGATCGCAATCCTGCTGCCGCGCAAAGGGGTAATCGCCAGGCTGCTCCTTGAGCTTTCCCTTGGGGGCATCCTCCTCCTCCCCCTCCTCCCCCTCCTCCTCGGCCTCCTCCTCCTCGCTGTGCTCGACTTCCGTGCCGTGCACAAGATTGAGGACCACGCGCACGTGTTCCACAATATCGACGACGCGGGCGCGTGGTTCCGCAAGGGCCGCGAAGTCACGGTCCGTCGCCGGCTGTACGAGCGCTGCGTCGAGCAAGGCGACTACAGTGCATTGCGCCCGACGCCATTGCTCACGGCGGCGGACTACATGCGCTTCAGGCGCAAGTACGATGCACATGCAGCTCGCAGTCACAAAAGTCGAGCAGTAACGTTAGGTTCTCCTCAAATGTAGCCAATGCCCCCCGAAAGGCGTGTATTGGCCAACGAGAGAAGCTGAGACCCGGTGTGGCTGGCTCGTGCGGCTGCAGGTCGGTCGTGATAAACTCCATTCTCCATGATAAACTGTTAATTGGCTCGTGTACGTTGAGATCCTGGCCACCTCTCTCTGGGTGGCACGAGCGTCACGGCGCACTGGTCGCAAGGCTCTGCCTCTGGACTGGGATATCTCTAATCATCTCTGAGGAGGAGGTCGCCAGTAATGTAAAAAATTCTCTCTCAAACAACGTAGGAGAGCCATTCAAACGGAGTGCAGAAAGGTGAAACCGTTGTAGAAGAGCTTGGTCAACCAAACGCCGGCTGCAATTGGCGAAGAAAAATACTTTGCCAATAATTCGGATTGTCCGGGGCCGCCAAAACGCTGCCTTGCTCGCGTCGCCCAAATGCCCTCGGAAGCCATCGCCCGCCACCAAGCCCGCCGCAACCGTCGCCGCACCAAGTCACCGACCGCCGCGCTCTCCCTCACCGCGCATCCACCTCCATCACCGCCCTCGTCGCCTCCGCCACCGCCACCGCCTTGGCACCTGCGCTGACGCACAAAGAATCACCGAATGATGAAAAGCGGCCGCGGTGGGGAGGGGCAGAGAAGGGCAGGGCTGGAGATGAATACTTTCAAGTTAATCTACACGAGTTACGAATGGACACCGCATGGTATTTTAGCCCACCCCCGTGCCTAGAGTTCACCGATAGGCGGGGGTGGGCCAAGACTACGTTAAATCGCGGATCGCGAGGGGGAAATTACCCCCCCCCCCCCATCAAACAGTATGATTTGAGTGAAGCAACAACACGTACAGGTACCAACAGGCTATTTAAGCTTTAAATTAAATCTCATCAACGGAGCTGCCGGCGCCTCTCAAAAGACCAGTAATGGTCGCTGGGAGAGTCAGCGCCGAGGCGGAGGGGGAGCGTGCAGCCAAGTGGCTGCGGACGATGGCCGGCGGCCTTTCGAAACCGCAGCTCGAGCAACTCGTTTGCAAACTAGCTGCGGATCCCTCGTTTGGCGTGTCTGTTTTCTTTCTTTCTTTCTGCTTTCTAGGCATGAAGGTTGCAGCGAGAATCGGCGAGAGACTGCGAAGAGAGATAGGAAGAGGCAGACTCCCTAGGGTGGGCGACGGCTAGCGCACCACACACCTCTCCTTAAAATCCCTGTTAAAAAAAAATCCCTGTGTGGTGGCGGCGTGCCGTCCTCCCCATCCCTCCCTTGGGTTGTCTGTTTTCTTTCTTTCTTTCTTTTTCTCTCCTTTCTTCTTCTTCTTCTCGAATAAATAAAAGAAAAGACGCGATTAGAGCGCCTTCGCCGACGGTCATCCGGTCACCCCAGTGCACGTCATCGTGACCCCGCACCCCGCAGCACCCTTCAGGCATGATCGCGCCCGCCAAGACCACCGCCGAGAATGCGGCGCCTCTCTTCTCGGACGACTACGTGCTCGACTTTACGCCGCCGCCCGGCTCGGCGCCGCCCAAGTCCAAGTTTTACGGAAAGTACACGGGCGCGCCGCACAGGCCGCTAGGGCAAGCGCCCACGCGCGCGGCAACCACGAGGCCGCGTGAACACGCGTAGGGATCGCCGGTCTCCTCGAGTGGCAGACGTACTGCTCCGAGTTTGACTTCTCGTCCTTCAAGATGGAGGGGCGCAGCGCCATCTCGCCCACCGAGGCCCGCCTGGCCCCACGCTCTACTAGCTAATACAGCCGCTCCCGCGCCAGCCCCCCCCCCCCCACCCCCCCCCATCCCGCCGTGCCACCCGCTCGGCCGCCAGGTGCTCGTCGAGATCTCTTACATCCCGACTCTCAAGAGCGGCAAGACGACCGGCAAGCGCGTGAGCGACGTCCAAAAGTGGACGGTGGTGGGCGGCAAGGCCACCGCGTTCAAGGTGTGGCCGGGCGACTACGCCGCAGCGAACGACCTCTTCTGAGCCACCAGTACCGCCGCGGGAGGGAGGGCGGCATCAGGGCCATCCCATCGCCTAAGGCTTCCTTCTCCTGCCCTTCTCGTTGGCCCGTCGGGACTGTCGACAAGCTCAGACACGCCACCCCACTCCCCACCCACGTCCACCCAAAATGCAATAAATGGGCTTGAACGTTTCTTTGTCAACGCATCTATACTAGGGGCAAACACTGAAAACGTAACTTGATCGGGGCGCGGTTTTTTTTGGACTAGACTGCTCGGTGGAGGTGGGCGAGTGATTGGGTAGCTTTGGGGCCGCCGAAAATAATGAGAACCGCCCCCTATATCTCGCCAAATCTCGATTTTTCGCGGGAATGGGGGCTTCTCAGCCCCGCGCGAGCTACAGTGACTCCCCAGGGCTTGTCCCGTGGCCCAAAGTGGTACCCCGAGCTCCGCCACGAGCGTGGGCAATCAGGAGACACCCACAGTCACGGCGGGCGAGGAGTTGGGTGACGGCCAACTGTCGATTACGGCGCCTCTGGAGCCTCCTGTATCGTCGGTTCGGCTCGAAGATCGTGCCGCATCCGCATGTAAACCACCTCCGCGCCCCCGCTGGCACATGTCCGCATTGCCCGAGCCTGGGAGAAGTTCCCAGTGCCCGGAGGCTGCACAGGTCCGCGAAACGCTGGCGCTGCAGCTCCCGGCGCGCACCCCAGATTCGCGAGGAAAACAGCCGAAAACGGGTCGCGCCGCGATTGACCCTCAGCGAGCCCAGGCGAGCCTGGTAATCCCACCCGGTGGTAAGCGCACGTCCTCCGCGTAATCTAGCGCGCTGTGCAGCCCGCCAGTGCATGGCGCCGACCTGGGCCGACTGGTCGATCTCGCCGCGATCTCGCCATCCAATTCTCGGTCAGGTGTAGTGGATCACCTTAAAATCCTGGATTAATTCCTGAGCCCACCTGGCCCCACCAGACGGGTGGCACGAGGCGCCCGGGCCACTTTTTAGCGCCTCCCGAGCCTCCCGGCGCCTCCTGTGGCCTCCTGAACCCTCTCCCCCGCAGCCTCTCTCGGCGACGTGGGGAGCGGCTGCCGTCCACGGCTCGCACCGGCTCTTCCAGCGGCTCCACGCTTGCCGCCTGTGACGCCCGCGCCACGCACTGCCACGCGGCCGCTCGAGAGAGCGGTCGACGCCCATAATGCTGGGCGTGGCGCTCTATCGGTCGACGCTTCGGCGTCGCTGCTTAAATGGGGACCCGTGCCTCGACGCGGCGGCGCGGCCAAGTACGGCTCGGTGGCACAGCGCGTCGCCACGGACGAGATGCGGCCACAAGCGGCTGGGGAAGCTCCAAGAATGTTTCGTTCTACTTGCAGGAGAGGTGCAAGCAATTCTGGTGACTGCATGGCTCTTCGCGTCGAGGGATGCGTCCAAGATAATGAGTTGCTTTATTGAAAGCGCCGTGTCTTGAGGCATATTCCGGGTCATCGATCCACGTGATGTGACAAACTAGCCGCTATTAATGAATATGGGAATGTTATCTAGTTAAGGCAACCCGAGCGACAACTCACGCGCTTGGCGTGTGTGTGCCTGCTGCTCAAGGTCAAGCGGATATGAGCATATACACAACACACATACCACGGTCCGTCTGCATCCTCGGCCATCTACCGCCATGCCGCATCACCCTATGTGTTCGCTGTCCACCGCATGTGCCGCAGAGTCAACGTGCATTGCGCCGTGGGCGCGCCTCGCGCGCCTGTGGCGCCGCCTCATCAGCCGCCACGCCTGCTGCGGTTGCCCCGCGCTTCTTCGGCGCCCCGCGCTTCTTCGGCGCCCCGCGCTGCCTCGGCGCCGCCTCCGCCGCCGCCGCCGCCGCCGCCGCCGCCGCCGCCGCCGCCGCCGTCGCCGCCGCTGTCGCCGCCGCCTCCGCCTCCACCTCCACCTCCATCTCCATGCAGCTCGGTGTACGAAGGCGCCGCCTCGGACTCCTCCCGCGTGCGGTGCAGCGCCGAGAGCAGCTCCTTGCCGCGCACCTTCAGGAGCGAGGCGACGGGCACCGCCGCGGCGATGTGCCGGTGTAGCGTGTGGGAGCCGTTGGCCGGGTTGTACGACGGGCCCGAGATGCCCTTGGACTTGGCGAGGCAGTTCTTCAGATAGTTCGAGAGCGCGGTCTGCCCGACGTCGTGGTCGATGACCTCGAGCTGCACCAGCGTGCGCGTGATGTGGGCGAGCGGCTCCGCCGCCCGAGCGGCGGCTTGACTGAGCAAGGACGGGACGAGGCCCTTGGCGAGAGGCAAGTTACGCCACTCCGGATCGTCGGTCGGAGGCTGCCATCGCTCGCGCAACTGCGCACAACACGCACACACGGCTCAGGCAGCAAGGCCGAGATAGAGCCGAGATATAGCCGAGATATAGCCGAGATATAGCCGAGGTGTAGCAGCCGCGGCGGCGGCTCGGGGGGCGGTGGGAGAGCAGGGCGGGCGCCTGCTTGTAGCGACTCGACTGCAGCAGCACGACGTTCATCCACTGGTCGACGAGCGTCGGGACGGCGACCCACGAGCCGTCCGCGCCGCGGCCATGTAGCAGCACGAGCAGCGCCCATGCGTGCACCTCCGCCTCGCTGGGCAACGCCTTGCCCGAGGCGCACAAGATCGAGTTCCTGCGGCGCGCGCGAGGGGCAAGAGCTCGCCAAGGCGGGGCGAGCGCGGCCACGGCGAGGGCGGGCACGCACCGCTTCGATTCGGGCGCCCCGCGCTGCAGCGCCGCGCGCCGCTCAAGCTCGGCCTGCACGCTCTGGAGGATCTGCTGCAGCTGCTCGGTCGTGACATCTGCGGCACACACGCGCAAACCTGAGACCCCCACGGGCCCGGCGGCGGCGCGGCGAGCGGGGCGCGCGCAGGGGCACACACGGGCGTCGCAAACGCGCGGGCGCAGCGCGCCTGGAGCACCAGGAAGGGTGCCACCGCCGGCGCCGTGCTCAGCGTGATCACCTGCACGCACAGGCATCGCAGATCGTCAATGTCCCGCTGTGTCCCGAGCTTGGGGCTCGCGCTCCGGCGCCACGGGCTCGACGCGAGGACTCTGGAGAGAATGTCAGAGTGAGAGTGGATGAGGTTGGAGTGGAGGCGGCAATCGCCGTGCGGGCGCGCCCGGGGCTGCAGACTCCTCCAAAGCAGCGGGACGGGAGCGCGCGCGCGACCGCGGGCCGGATTTTGCGGGGGAACTCGGGGGGAGGGCGCCCCGGACACGCCCTGCACGCGGCGCGGGCTGGCGCTCACCAGGAGCGGCAGCATTTGCGGTCTTCACCGCGGTTTTTCTTTCGCCGCCATCATTCTTTTCCCTGCCAGGGGCCTCACTTGTCGCATTTGCGAGGAAAGCAAGCGCGAGCGCTGCGGCGCCGGAGTCTTTCGGTCACCATTCTGGACCATCTTAATATTTTTCAATGATTTTTGCAGGGTCTGAAAGCTGAGACTCAGCTCTTCACGCTCGGTATGAAAGCAAGGTCCGTCCGGGGGGTCCCATTTTTCAGTATTTCCCCCTATACTATACCATCTTCGCATGTGTTCCACATCGCACAAGAGGTTGACGCCCACCCCATCTTTACCAAAGACCTGGTGAAAAAAAATCGTCTCCGCGCTCGAGGCCGATAAACGCGTACAAGTAGAGGGTGCGGTGCGTCCTAATCTAAAATCCGAGGATTCAGGATTCAGGCATCGCTTCAGTGAGGCCAAAGTGTGAGTTTATGGATGTGTAAAGCCGTAAGAACGGTACGGGACACGAGGAGGCACGCGGACCAACTCGTCGGCGACTCTGCTGCACGCCGTTTCAGAATTTTTCTCAGCGTGAGCGAGACGTGGAAGAGTGCCACCGTTGAGCATTAATTTTATTACAGTGACCGTCTGAGGTCTGTGACGTCTGTGTTTGTCTTTACCGCGTCCTGCACTCCTGCTCCTGGCCCCCGGGCCTCGCCCCCCCCCCCCCCCCCCCGCCTCGCGGGGCTCTCTCGGTGATGAGCCAACCGCCGCTTCGCACCGGCGCAAGCGCCGCGCACGTTGGGCCAATCACAGATCAGTCTCACTCTGATCTCTGTCTCTCAATCTCAGTCTCAGACAGCTCTTCATCACGTTCCAGAACACTCACAGTCACACGACGATAAGCCCCGTGAACCACGACCTGCCTAACAATGAGTCCACGAGTGCGCCACACGACCCAGGGCCGGGGAGCTAAGCAGGAGCTAAGCGAAGCGTAACCATATCCGCCAAAAAACAGAGAAGGCCACGTCGCTCGGAAACGGCGTCAGCTTTTCTTCCTGACACACCAGTTGGTCACGGGAATCTTCGATCGATCGACGCCACAGCTTGAAAGAGGACACCTTTCATCGAGGAAGATGCTCGCCGACCAGACGACAACGCTCTCGGCGACCGGCTTCGAGACTCTGGACGTGGGCGGCTGGCAGGTCGTCGTCACCGACGGGCACGCGGTGCTGCCCGAAGGCATGACGCACCTGCCGGACCGGGCGTTCCGCAACCGCACCTCTCTCGTCTTGGTCGCCTTCCCGCGCAGCCTTGCCTCGATCGGCACTGGCGCCTTCGAGGGCTGCTCCTCGCTCTCCTCCATCGACCTCCCCGCCAGCCTCGTCGCCATCAACAACTACGCCTTCCGCGGCTGCTCCGCCCTCCCCTCCGTCACCCTCCCCGCCGGCGTCACCTCCATCGGCATGGGCGCCTTCGCCCGCTGCCCCTCCATCACCACCGTCACCCTCCCCGCCGGCCTCACCTCCATCGGCCCCAGCGCGTTCCACCTCTGCTCCTCTCTCACCCGCGTCGCCTTCCCTGCCGGTCTCACCTTCATCGGCGAGGCCGCCTTCTTCCGCTGCTCCTCTCTCACCCGTGTCACCTTCCCTGCCGGCCTCACTTCCATCAGCGCTGCTGTTTTCTCCGGCTGCTCCGCCCTCGCCCGCGTCACCCTCCCCGCCAACCTCACCTCCATTGGCGACTGCGCCTTCGACGCCTGCGAGGCCCTCGGCTCCGTCACCTTCCCCGCCGGCCTTACCTCCATCGGCGAAGCCGCCTTCGAAGGCTGCTCCTCCCTCACCTCCGTCACCGTGCCAACCACCTCCGAGATCGGCGACGCGGCCTTCGACCCCCCGACCACCGTCCTCCGCCTCTCGCCCGCAAGCATGCGCGCCCAGGCTAGGGCGGCGGAGGCGGCGGCAAGAGAGGC